AAGAAAAGAAAGTTCAAATGACGTAAGCACTTTAATCTGACCGACGATGCGTTTTAAAGTTTTGGTCCCGTTTTGTTCTTTGAAGCTAAATATCAATCGTAACAGCAGGCGTTGTATGCTCTATTGTATGCACATTTTGGGCATTGGATATTAAAATAATTTTTTTACAGGATTTTATACATTTACTTTTTATATTTTCTTGAGTACTGTACATTTAGTGCCATTACGATCAGGACATAAATATCTGAGACAACGTGAAGTTTGTAAACTATTATTTGTAACGGGAAAATACTCCCTGGTATTTACTTTCTTTCCCCCTTCCGTCCTAATTTAACTTTGCCAAAACAATGTCACTGTTGCATCATGTTTAACATTGTCTTGCAATTGCTTGTTAAGCGTACATCTAGGAAAAAAGTAAATATGGTTCTTGAATAAATTTGGAAACTAAATTGTGCGGTATAAAAAGATTTCTTATATGAAAACAAATCAGTGAAAAAATCGTGATACAGACAATCATATTGCGGTATGTACTGCCAAAACAGCAAACCGTAATATACCGGTATATATGTATATGGTTGCACTCTTAGCTGCGGCTTAAAGAGAAGTAGAATCTAAAACAAAATGGTTCAGATGGCAATTATATTGAATTGCATCAAACTGCTTAGTACGCAATATGTGTTACAAAATTCTTACAGTGGGGAAAGGGCTTGCATCTCCACCTTGAGCATCACCTTGTGTCAAAATGACCTGTACGTTAAAATAAAATAACGCATATTCAACTTTGATCTGGGGAACATAAATGCATTTGCTATGAGCTTCCAATAAGTTGTCAGAGCAGGATGAACTATATTTTGATGTTTTATTTATCAAAGCAATTTAAATATAGAGACTGTTTTGCCGTGACATATGCATTTGTAAATATTTATTTTGGTCAGGTTGATGTGCAATCATATTTTACATAAATGCAGTCCCTTGAGCCCTGCAAAAGACGGGGAAAGAGGAACGGAAGCTTGTAGTTTTTCCTTCTTCATACCACACATTACACATCAGCTCATAAAATTAAGTTATAATTCTTTCCAAAGTTTAAGGCTTGTTGAATAGTCATTATATATATATATATATATATATATATATATATATATATATATATATATATATATATATATATATATATATATATATATAAAGAGAGAGAGAGAGAGAGAGAGAAAGAGTTATATACAAACAAGAGGTTAGATTGTTGTTGTGGTTGTTCTGAGGCTTAACGCCATTTTTCAGCACAAGATATGTTATACATGGCGGCCAATATTTATGGTGGAGGAAGAAACCGGGACTTCCGCGAAAAGAACATACAGGTTAGAGAAATTAAATTCGTACTTTACCGAGTTTCGAGCCAGATCTGGGAGTAAATGGCACCCATCGCTTGCCAGTATGCAGCAGACCATATACTGTCACGACTAAGCACACATCACCATCGCATCATTACTCGCGGACCTGGATTCGAAACTCGGTAGAGTACGAATTTATTTTCTCTAACCTGTATGATGGTTTTGTTTGTACTAAACTATTATTTCTGCCCACTATTATTAAGATTCTACAAAATCCAGGGATAGCACTGTCTGTTCTCACTGGGCACACACACACACACATACATATATATATATATATATATATATATATATATATATATATATATATATATATATATATATATATATATATATATATATATATATATATATATATATAATATTTAAGCATATGAGAGAGAAAAAGGGACAGTGAGAGACAGACAGACAAAGACTTTATTAACTCTGACGACTTCACTAATAAGTGTCACAAGGTGGCCGGGTTGTCCCAAGAACTCGCCTGTCACGACCAGTGCCACCTCTGTCCACGTGGGTTGGAGTCTTGGGCAAATCAATATTGGTATGTAAGAAAGCTTGCCCTTATCTTCCCATAAATCAGTGGTTCTTCCCTATCATGTGCTGAAAATGGCGTTCAAACCACGAACCACCGAACTTCACACGACAAAATTTATACTTTTCTTGGCATTTCCAAAGATACTTTGATAATTCCATCTTTGCCTTGTTGCTCATCAACAAAGCTGCTATCAGTTTTATGTTTCGTAATTTTTAGATCAATGTATTACCACTGATGTTCGATTGTGTAATGAAAATTTGGACGGCAAATTACCTAACGATGTTACACATAATTCCTTCAGAAAGCCTTACTTGAACAATAGGGGGATAAATGCGACGAATTCATACAGTGTGTTAAGATCGTATATTATGCTTAAAATTTCAGTTAAAAAACAAATCAGGTGTCTAATTGAAACAAACATCTCCGACGCAAGAATACAGGTAATTACGTATGTACTTTATGGCAAATGATTTGTTGAAGTCCTCTAGACTTACTAAGCACTTGACTGGCAACCAACGCACCCCCGAAAGCAAACCATGTACAGTCTTGTATGCGCAGACAAATAATATCTTCAATGATAACATATAACCTGAAAGAACATCCATTTCCAGTAGTCATGCTGGGTTTTGAGGATAACATGTGAAGACTAATGCAAAAGCGATATGAAAAGTTTCTTTTTCGGCTTACTTGAAAGAAAAAATATATGAAGAGAAACAACCAAGTACTGCACATATGTGTGCAACATAAAAACTTTTAGGTGAAGGTTTACAGCGTATTTTGTTGGCAGAGTAAAAAAATAGTGATTATCAAAGAAGTTGAGGGAAGTAAAACGTGGATGATCAATTACTATGTTTGCCCTGGAGACAATGTAATCCTGATTCTATCGCAAATCTTACAGTGATTCGCCATCAAACTAGCATATAATTCAAATTCAACTCATCAGCTTAACTGATACCTTACACAATATATGCACAATTTATCATGCATTTTTTTACGCTAATTGTTGATTATCAAAATCTACATTTCCGTTTGTTTGCAAGCGCAAAGGACAACCTCAGCCCGCCCCGCCTTCTAAAGATCAGTGATAACGAATCAAATTAAATGCATCTGCCATCAAGGCACGCAAAAAGTCATAAGACGAAATCGGATAGGGTCTTTAATTGACTGACATATTCTCTTATTTGTACAATATAAGCACTATTTATTTATGCGCTCTGTGTCAAAAGACTCCATGGCTTCAGCTTTTGTCACTGTGAGTTTCTCTTGATTCTAATTTCTTTTTAATATCTTCATGAAATATAAATGGAGGGAGTTTGGATCTATGACTGGCAAGCACAAGTTATATATATATATATATATATATATATATATATATATATATATATATATATATATATATATATATATATATATATATATTCTAGATATATTCTAGATATGTGGCTTTCATTCACACACACGCGCGCGCACGCACACACACATACATACATACATACATACATACACACACATACATACATACACACATACACACATACATACATACATACATACATACATACATACATACATACATACATACATACATACATACATACATACATACATACATACATACATACATACATACATACATACATACATACATACATACATACATACATACATACGTATGGCCTATTCTCAGGAGATCAGATTAGCTATGAATCGCAATCACCTCTGAAGTTATTGCCATCAATTACATATACATCTGGCAAGAAGTATAGAGATTATCTATCGTTCCGGAAATGTTTTAAATATGTCAAGAAAAAAAAAAGTTTCCATAATATTGTTATCGACCTGTTTCGTACCACTTGAACCTATGAGAATTAAGGAAGTATTTATCTTGCGAAATACAAGACTCATTAGAGGAAAGTATTGCCAATGGTAACACTCACTGTGACGTACTTGCGTACCCAATACTTCGATTGAGAGGTTATCTGTAATACTACGTCAATGGAGTTTAATCGGTGTACATAAGTTCAATGACATTGATTTTGCATTTTAAATTTAAATTTGTTGTTGTTGTAGGATGAACACCATTTTAAGCACAAGATATGCTATACCTTGAGGCTAGTATAAATAGTGGAGGAAGAACCCGACAAACCCCTGGAAAGAACCAATGACCCACGAGAAGCTACGGGCAAACTCTCTCACATACCCACAATGGCCGAATAAGAGACTCCAACTAGCGCAGAAAGAGGTGAGATGGCAGTGATTCGTAACGGTGAGCGCTCTAGACACACTATATTTAAAGTAATTATAAGAAAAGAAACATTTATTTGACAAAGTATTTCAAGTTTTCATTGTTGTAATTGATTTTATATTTCCTAAGTTTGCAAGGTATTTATTTATTTATAAAAAGTGATATCTCTTTTTTGTCATTATTTTGTAAGTTTGAAAGGATCAAATGTGTAATATATTCTACTCTGTTGCCTTATTACTATATCAACATATCAGAATGGAAACGTTTTAATGCTACAATTGGAGTGTAACGAATAAAGTAATTAATAAAACAAAACCTATGAAGTTTCTGTCAGAAGACAATTACCTTTAACTGTTTCTTCTATTTTCCTCAAATAAAAAAGAAAATAAACCAGTCTGTGCTCAGGATTCAGCTTTTGGGAAATTCTTTTTTCAGGCAGAGATCAATTAAAGAAGCTATTTATTAAAAAAAATATTTAACCTTCAAGTTTATCTCATATCAACAGCAAAGTCAAGATTCCTTCTATTGTTTCTTGTTTTTCTTTATACGCCGACTTGGTGTATTAAAATGAGATCATGAATTGGGTCATCAAAATGTAATTTAGCACGTATTGGAAATAAGGAAAAAATCTCATTTCTAAGTTATTCAAGTCTACCTCTAGTTTGTCATTAGAAAAACGAAACCAAAACGTGATAGTAGTATGGAAACATCGGCTGAAGAAATATTATATGTTGATAATGTTTTATTAAATTTAAACAGACGCCTTCCCTGACTATAGGCAAACAAAGCATTTTAATACAAATATGATTAGATATTATGTAACACCGCTTCGACGGTCTAGTGGTCAGAGCGTCCGCATTTGAGGCGGGAGGTCGCGGGTTCGAACCCCGGCCGAGTAATACCAAAAGCTACTAACAACTTCCTCGCTGGGCACTCAGAATCAACAGGTCAGTATTAGGACTAGTTGACATGGTGTCAAGATAATTTGGCTACATGGGACATGATACATGCCTGCGGCTTGATGCCTATTGCTAGACATCATTATCACTGCAGATATCACTGTAAACTTGCTAAAGCTACGTCGTTAAAAGTCTAAATCACACACACACACACACACACACACACACACACACACACACACGCACCATGAGTACCATAATTACAGACTATGTCAGCATTTTCACCGGCATTAGTGCAGAGAAAAAAATAGTTTGTATGTTTGTTGCTATTTTATTTCACTTTAGAAATTCTGTAAAGGCGAATCAATAAATTTATCTTAGCCATTCCTCATTTCTTTCTTTGATAAAGTGTATTTAAGTTAAACAATCTGCCGAATGCAAGGAAACATCAAAGACACCTTTTCTTGATTAATCACTTTTGTTAACGTTAAAATATAGTTGTTAGTGATAATTACGCGAAGCTTAGTTTCATATTCCAGCAGTGCGCATTACATTGGGTCCTATCAAGACACTAATCAAAACATTGATTTCATTATCATGTTTTTCTAATCGCTGATAATCTTTGATCTGATGCAGAAAATGCAAGATCAACATATCTATCAGTATTAATCTATGTCTAATGTAAATTTTATAATGAGTTCACATTATTTAAAAACGAACAGAAGCTGAATGCCTTGAATTAATTCGATCTTTGAGTCAAATTGTAAAGGTTCAGCTGGTATTTGGTTTTACAAGAACAAATTGTTTATGAGTCTCAGTTTGTCTGCATATTATTCAGTTTAGAAACATCTTCTATGGTGCGCTGAAAGAGCCACGATGCATCTGATAATTGTATTAGTAAAACAGCTTTTTCTAATCAATGTTAAACGAGTCAAGAGATTCCCTGAACACACACGGTCAAACATTTGTGAGTGAATGCTGGGGCGCAGTAACTACTGATATTGATCGTTGTAAACTTCTACCTACGTAAACTCTGCACACTGGCCAATAACAGCCTATTTCGCCTACGCCTTCAATTTTGTAGCACCCGATCTGTACCATCTGGTTTTATTATAGATATCAGAAATTGACTTCACTAGTTATAGCTGTCATATGTCCACTAGAACTTTAATAATCAGTCAATTTTGCGTGAATAATCTCTGTGGAAATAATTGGTCACAATAAAGATACTTGAAAAGTTAGAGACTTCTTGGTGCAATATAATAAAGAAATATAATGATTTCGTTGAGTCTGACACTTCTAGGACCAAATTCGCCCTTCTACTCTACAACGCATTGCGAAGAATAATTTGTTAACGCAAATATCGAGGTTTATAGTATCACTTTGTATATCAAAGCCAAATATCGAGGTTTATAGTATCCCTTTGGATATCAAAGCGAAATATCCAGGTTTATAGCATGGATATCAAAGCCAGGTTACAAAGTTGCTCACTGTCAAAACTGGTCAGCGGTATACCAACTTCCGTCAGCAAAAGGTCACATAATGTTTGTTAACAAGACAAATTGCTATCGACTTTCACATGTATGGAATGGAAATACACAAAGACTTATCAAAGTAACGACGAGTAATAGTTACAATAAACGCACAGGACTGACACCTAAAGTTGAAACACAACTTCATTTTCAGATCTGTTCATTTCAGTTAGGCGTCCTTGAATCACGAATGTACTGCTTTGAAATGACGACTACATATTTATAAAAAACAGAGCTTTACAGAGCGACAGTATACAAAAGTTTTCACCTAAAAGATCCCATTTTAATGGTAAAGTCATTATCATTAATTGACCCGTACTGTAATAATAACTTTCTTCTAATTTGTCTCAACTTTTGTTCAACATTTATGTGTCTTTTTGCAAAGCTCGCATGTATTTTCTGATTTTTGTTTCTTATATATATAGATATATATATATATATATATATATATATATATATATATATATATATATATATATATATATATATATATATATTGTTATTATCATTGTCTTTTTGAAATGATTTATATAAGTGGGACATGATGAAAAGTAAGTGGGACATGATGAAATATAAGTAGGACATGATGAAATATAAGTGGGACTTATGCTACATGGAGCGGCATAATGCTGGTCATCATTATAAAATGCCATACCGCAGACATCGTAGTGATATGGCTCAAGGTACTAAAGCTACGTCAAAAATCCAAATCACACTCACACAAAATCGTCAGTGCAAATTAAGTTAAGTTTCCTTTTATTGTCCTGTTTTGTATTTTCTAAACGAACACTCATTGTCGAGGCAATTAAAGGTTTTATTTATTTATTTATTTATTTATTTATTTATTTATTTATTTATTTATTTATTTATTTATTTTGTTTATTTATTTTATTTTATTCATTCATTCATTTTTTGATTGATTGACATTGATTCATTGATTGATGAAGCTGGTATTGTATGTATGACCGTACGTACGTATGCATATATATATATATATATATATATATATATATATATATATATATATATATATATATATATATATATATATATATATATATATTTATTTATTTATGTATGTATGTATGTTTTATATTGTGCGCTTGATTTTTGTCTCGGTCTGATTTTAGTCGAAAGATGTTTTGAAAACATGACTTTTGTCATGAGTGTGACTGAGGGTAATAAATAGAAGTTTTGAAAACATGACTTTTGCCATGGGTGTGACTGAGCGTAGTAAACAGAAGTACTGCCTACCATAAGTTAGTCATGTTGTAATCAAGATGTTTACTGGAAACTGAACTTAGGAATTATTGGATTTTCTGTAAGAAAAATTTGTTTTTCAGAATCTTCTATATATATTCAAATACCCATTTGACCTACGATATAATAGATATATTTTATTCATATCACATACATACATATATAATATTCATCACATACATATATTTTATTCATGTCGTATATGAACAACATTAGTTTAATTTTCACTGAATAAATTTATTCTCAATGGTAAATCTAGTCTATGGAAGGAAAAGTATAAATTGTATACCTCATAAAATTCTAAAATTGGTTCTTGTCAAGGATTCAATTACAGTTTCTAACAGATGAGAATAGATAGTGCTCTTAAACAGGTACTATTTTTCATAAACGTAGGATGCATCGTAAGTAACGCCAACGTCTATTGTCGCCATGAATTTTAATTCAGATCGAAAATAGAAACATCAAGATACATTGATGAAAAAAATTAAAACTGCTCAAGCCAGATAAGAAGCTACATCGGTTATGTCTTTAACATCAAAGAATTCGTTTCTCGGCGCATCTGCTCATCGTACGTGTGTACAATATGTCTTGCAAGTATGCATCAGGCGATATAAGGATTTTGCTTGGCGTTGTTTGTTAGATGTTATATGGCAGGTACTCATAACGTTCTTTCGTCTCGAATACTTTGTGTGTTAAGTTATTAGCCAAATATCAAAGACCCTATCTTCCATATCATAATTGGCAGGTAATTACCCCCGCTATGTACTCCATCTCTGTCATAATCGCAACTGTCTGACAGCTATCCACCATGGTTTATTGTTATGTTAGGCCATAGGTTAGAAGATTTTCTGAGAGAAATAATCTTGATAATGGTTCACTGCCCTTCAATAGACAGTAATAAAATTGTGAGAAAGAAATTAAGAAATACTCAAAAGACACTTTTGTCGCTTATAGATGACAAATATTCGATCCCAACGATTTGCAAATACTTTGGAGTTTAATTTTTACCATTTAGTTTTTTTTAACTTGAATTAGGAAGGTAAATTATGAGCGAACATAAACGGTAAACAACTATAATTGCGCAGGAAATATGCTTCTTTAGTGTGTTATACGATTTGTTAGCCAACTTGTTTCATCATAAAATTAAAATTAAAACATACTTTCTCTTAGTGAATTATATATATATATATATATATATATATATATATATATATATATATATATATATATATATATATATATATATATATATAATAATAATAATAATAATAATAATAATAATAATAACTGGGTAAATGGGTAAAAAGTACAAGTATTTTCACTTGTGGGTTCCTTATTATCCAAATACTTAGTTTTCAACCCACTAGATCACATGTATCGGTTAATCACTTCGAGCATTCAAATATGTTCCTTTTATTTATCAATCTATTCTGAAATAACGAGAAAATTGTAGTGACATGACAATAATGAATATCATGGTTTCTGCCGAAATTGAATCCATGCTTAATGCAAATAAGGAATTCTTGACTCATGAATAGAAAATTGGGACATACAAGTATCCATAAGGTGTAAAAAAAAAATAACCAACCTTTTCTGGGGTTTGATGGATATCGGTGGTTTGGAGTTTAGTTTTAGGCCACATCGTTTAGTACTACTCTGCTTGAAGATGATCTAAAGATTCTTATTACAAATAACAGATTGGTGACGATATGCAATATTTCATCTCGTCTACTCTGACCCACTTGAGGGAGGGAGTAATCATAATGTCACTTTATCTTTTGGAAAATTGGATGCTTTAGCGCACATGCTGTCAGCGAAATCACTAATTATTGTAGATGACTAATGAGATTTGTTCTTTCTCTTTTTCTTAGATTGTCAACTACGAATATCTTTATATCATTAGTTTTAGGAAGAAACCTGATTTCGTTTTTTCTCCTAAATGTCTTGAAGGGTTGGGTTTACTTTATAAGAGATGAAAAAAATGTCTCTTATAGCGTTTTGTGGGAATAGTCTATCTTCTGAAAGATTGAACAAGAGGAGTTTTTTTCAAATATAATATCAAATGGAAAACAGTCAATACGTGTAATAGACTATATAAGGGTCTAAAAGTATATGGGTTATCTAAGTGGTTGAGGTACTTGATATTAATCAGGCCTTTATTTGTATATATATATATATATATATATATATATATATATATATATATATAT